GCAACATGAATGTATATGAAGATCTTCATTATATAGTTGAATCTTTCGTATTAAACTACTACAGAATAAATACTGCCCTCTACAGTTGACCTACCACCCTCTACAGTTGACATATTACGTACCGTCTTTATAAACTCTCCATGCTCCATCAAAAACATGTTTATAACTAGAAAATAAATACAAGGGGATAACAGTTGATTATTAATATATAAAAATATATATATATATATATATAAAAAGACTTAAAAGACTTAAAAGTAAAAATGTTGGTATGTTTCTTACTTCCTTCTATTTTCTGCTGAAAGTTTTATGTCGTTTTGCATTCTGACATTGATCATATCAGCTGGAGTTCCCACAAACCCTCCGCAAGCACCTATATTCAAAAACAGATATATATATAGTACATTTATAGTGATACATTTTTACCGGGTAATACAAAAAGGTAAAATAATGTGCTATGCAGTGTAGGTAACTTAGCTTATAGGAAACATGGGCCCATATAAGGTCATAGTTAAATTTTACCTTTATAAAATAAAGTTATTTATTATTTTGTTGCACCATTCAGAACCAGAAATAATTTATTTAAGCTAAGTATGGTGTTTGTTTATTTTATTTTCTAAATAACGTGACGCCGTCACAAAATAAAGTGACACTTACCGCCAATACCGGCTGTGAGGATTTTCTGATAAAAAGGTAGCGGAGCTTTTGGATCACCACCAGTTAAATGTGTTCGTAACGTCTCGTAAATTGCAAACCTTGTCATAGAATAAGTTAACTAGAATACAAAAACAACGATAACAATTAAGTATGATGATGATGCTTAGTTTGTGCATATATTAAGCAAATGAATATTTATTTCTGTTTTCAGAGTTGCTCAAAAAATGGTCCAATAATGTCATTTTTCATTTTTATTTATGTTGATACTAGTAATTTGGCAAAATACTCCACTAAAAGATGATTATGAAATTCAGGGACTCACTCAAAATTCAAAATATTCAATTTAGAAAAATATCCCTCAAATACAGTTTTATAAAACAATAAGATACTACTCATACATGATCTAGGTAACATTTGAAAAACAAAATGCAAACCTTGATACTTAATAAACTACCAGTAGATAAATTTCTGTTCTGACAGTGAACACAGATTAGATCTTTAAACACAAGTAAATGTTAAGCAACCATAACATTTTATTTCAGCTCATGTAACACTGATCCAGATGTTGTTTAATTTCTTAGTAGCTTGTATCATTTTGAATCAAAATCTTAATCAAAATATTAATTATAATACTGTGCAGTTATTTTTCCAAAGTTCTGATATTGAAATTGAATGTGATACAGATATGATCAAATGTGAATCTGATGTGAATCTTTTTCCAACTTCATGCACATGATATGTCAGCCTAGTTGAATCAGAGACCTTCAATATATGTGTTAGTGCTGTTTAAATAATCAAATTGAATAACTAAACATTTGATATAGCCCAGCTTTTCAAGTTTTTACATTGTTGTCGTGGGGATATGGCATGTAGAAATTATTTTAGCTGAATAGGTTAAAATGAGAAATACTGAAAGATAATAAATAGTTGCTATTTAGTTAGTTTAATGAAAAATCAGCCAAAGTTAAAAACTGAAAATAAATCCAGCTCAATTCACAGTTGGCAAAATGAACATTACATAAAGAATAAATGTATTTTGTCTATCAGTAACGCAAATAGTCACAGGGTATTCAAGTTACCATGGAAACACTCAGCATCAATTGAAAAATTACACCAGTTATATTTAGAGTTGAATACTTTACAATACAGACAGAAAATACCTTTCTTGCTGTGTATTGGCAGTTCAAATGCAAGTTATATAACAAAAAACAATTGTTGCTATGGGTTACAGCATTTGTTGGATATCAACAGAGTTTTTATTCATTCGCAGTCATTTGCAATTCACCATTTGTTGGTGTCACATAACAAATAGGTAACCTATAAAGCAGCATTTGAAGACAATGAGTAAACTCACAATACCGAGCTTTGATTCAGAGATTCTGTTTATACGATTCCATTACAATGTATAGACCACTTGAAATCCACAATCCTTTGACAATAGTTGATTTCAAAACAGAGTGTGAATGATACCAGTAATCGAAGTGGTTTATATAAGAACATGACGCAAGAACAAGGTACGATAATGATCTCTGACCTTTAGGAGTTCATTCCACTCACCTGTCTACCGATTGAGGCACTGATTCCATTATATAGGGCTCTTACACCTTGCGTTCGTACAATTTTAACGGCCAATTTAGTAGCACTCGTTCTACCCGTTGTTTGCGCTGTCTGTAGATGAACCTACATAAATGAGATAAATAAAAAAAAAAATCGGGTTATTTACAGTTTAGTAAATTATATATCTCTTTTTGTTCAGGATATTTGTTTCACTCTTTTAGTATTAAATGCCATTGAGCGTTTGTAATTGAGAAAGGTCAAATTATTATCCCTGGTCACCCTTGGCCTCTACAATAACATGTACACTCAATTGCTAATAATATAACACAGTATGTGTCTGGAGCTTTTGGAATTTCAAAAGGTTAAATTATGCAACAGTCTTTACATTTTTGGGGGGAACTCTACAGGAGATTCTTTTCAAATCTTCTATATAACAAAAAAATATTCTTGTGTAATTTGTTTTATGAATGGGCACCATTTTTGTATTAGCTGGGGTCGATTCTGACCCACCCCCAAATATCAATGATTATTATTTAAATATTTTAAAAGTTATTTGCATTATTCTGTGGTAATTTGCATATACATGTCAATAGGTTATTTAAATCTTAATGTATCAAAGATTTTCACTTGATCTGAAGTTTATAAGTATGGTTGCCATGGAAACAACATAACTTGACACTGTTTTTTTTATCAGTGTATTGCTATACCTACACTAGTTTTCTAATATATTATTGAATAATTCAAACCAGTGTTGAAGGGGGGTATAGATGGCACTGTTCCAAAAAAAAGACAGGTTATTGTAATCACCTGGACACAATGGAGGTCAAACAAGAGGTCAAGGGTGGAACCAATAACCTACTTGCCTGGTAACAAGATGGTAGGAACTGAATCTGAATAAAGTAATAGGGGTTGGAACATTTAATTCATGAACAATTTATGCCCATTTAAAGATTTGTTTCTGTTCCATTTTAGGCTAACTAAACCTCTGATAGAATAGGATGTTTTATTTGGAACATATATAATACACAGTAAAGTCAAATATTATAACACAAAAAAATACATATTTGTGGCGTTTTAACTATTTTAAAAATTTTCATCCATAAAACAACTTATTGAACAACTTGAATATCAGTTTGACTGTAATCATAAGCAAAACCCACATACATGTGGAAATGTGTACAACACTGTGGTATGTGTATCATATAACTATGAAGTTCTATGATATGACATATTTTGTTGACAGGACGTCATCTATGATCAATAAACCAAAGGGTTGCCAGACAATTGATATGCTTTAATCTATCGCATGTGCGCGAGATTTATATAATTTTTTGGTGCATTAGCCCAGTCCCCATAGGTTTGTTTCCTTAAAACCCCTTCCCAAGGGTCATGGTCAACTGGTCCGTTAACACTAAGAGAGTTAAAAAAACTTGCGGGGAAAAAAATAAAATTGTCTTATGCTATGCTTTTCATAACTGTAGAGAAAGAGGGATGTTTTACATAATATACTGTCTACTCATCGCTGTCATTGATAGCAGTTCTGTTCGTAATATCAATTAGTAATACAATCGTGGTAGTTAAAATAGAGGGAAAAACCATGGACGTTGAAAAACACACACAAAGAAAAACGTATGTATAACCACAGTCCCTATATCCAAAGGGACTGTGGTATAACCCTAAATATGCCATCCTACATTTACCTGAAAAATTAACGTCGGCGTTCTAGAAAGCTGTCCATGTCGTACTATTTATAAATGTTTAAATATAGTACACTGATAATTGTTTTTTTTTATTTTTCACGTTTATATAAGATGTACGTTACACTAAACCGTCCTTGACATTTTAATACGTCATCACCTATGTCTTTATAATATACGCCGAGATATAATATATTACGAATAATTTTTTTCTTTCCTTTATGAGTGTGGAATTTGTTCGCCCCACTATCCGGGCACCGTTGTCAAACATGTCCTATCGTACTACATCAATCAGTGTTGTACTATCGATAATATTTCGTGACCTTAGCTTGACCGTGTCGAGGTCGGCACGTACACTGGATGTACGCGTACATCTGATAGCCCGTAACGGGTGTACAGTTAGAATCAATACATTAAAGAGAAACTTACTTTCAGTAGATCGAGGGGGTGAGTACAACATGCGGCTCCTGCCGCTCCCAAACCACCGAAATACCATCTCGCAACGAGTGCTTTTTCTTGTGTTTCCGCCATTGCGTTGCGATCAGTAAATTCTACGTACGCCGGTAGCCGTCGATTATACACGTTTGCCGACTCGGTAATAAGCCGGCTGTGTTTACCAATCAGAATGAATTTCGTCGTCACGTGATCTTTTGTATTTAAATTGCGTGCCAAGCCCCCACAATGTTACGTTGCGATAGGTCGATCGATGAAAGGATGTGTCGTCACGTTGTAACAGTACCAGGGTGAATGTACTTGTGGACGTCAAATTACTAACGAGTTTATAAAAAATGAAGAAATACATTTAATTTCTTTATTATTGTCAAGTTACAAACTTGATCAACGTAAATTTGAATACCGGAAGTGGACAACCGATCAGTATGTAAAATGCGGCTCAGACGATTACATGTAATAGTTGTCTGAAAGGGAAGTGGTGTATTTCATCGATATCGTTGAGGGCGCTTTTGCTGCTGCACGTACGTCTAACACGATACAATGATACCATGAACTAATAATTTATTTGGATAGTTGCCTTGGTATCACAATTGCATAGCCCATATTTGCTCCATTATAAGCTTAATTGTCTCTAACAAGGTAACATAAACCACAGGGAGTTAGAAAAACTTATGTATTTTAATAAATTATTAAATAATAAAACGTTATATAACTTTTCTCCCCCCCCCTTCCTGGTATCGATTTCAAGTAATCACTGATCTTTGTTTATACCACTTTTTTCTTTATCACAATCTTTGTTACCCGCTAATGTTATATGCAAATTTTAACGCGCGATGTAGACACACCCTATTATAGTAAACTATCCCTATCTTTGAATAAAATATGGTACGCAAGCTGAAGTAAAAAAAAAAAAAAAAAACGCTTAAAAGGGGTGTTATTTAGTGTTTAAGGTCAAACATTTTAAAATATATCAATAAAGTGTGAACAAAGGAATCTCATGAATTCATCATGTTTCCTCAACTTGGAAACAGTATGATTTTAGTATGTTTGTATGGTATCTGTTTTAAGTTTCCGCACTTGAAAAGGGACATAATTTCACAAAAATAAATACGTGTTTAGAAGTATTTTTGAAAAGCTATACTTCAGCATGGATGCCAGGTCTGACTTGGAGTACCCCCGGATTAAAATACAACTTCTTTTGACCGCAGACACACTTTGGTCGATTAAGTACATGCACTGCTAAATTAAAATGGATTATTATTGGGGAAGGGCTGATTTTTTATTGTGGATCCTCAAAATCAAAACAAAAGTACAATTGTTAAAACAATTTTTTGTAATATTTTTTACATCTGAGTCTGTAGCATTTGTGGATGACAATTAGACCTCATACATACATCGCATAATTACATCATCATGTGATTATGCAACATTAAAAGCAAAATACAATAATGTGGACACGTTTAAAACAAAGTTCCATTATTTTTAACCTTTTTATCCAGTTTTGGTTTTAATACATACAGTTGTATTGTATATTGCAGCATCCTGTACTAGTTATGCATATAATTTGCATAAAATTCGCATCAACATAAAATAACTGATAAGTTAGGTGTGCTTGGGTACATACATGCCTTGTTCCGGGATAGAACTTCATCGCTTTGATTTAATACAACCTTCCCCATAACATTGCTTTTATTCTAGAGAATAAAACATTGCCTTGAAGATGAGTGCCCATTCAACTCCAAGGTCAGCATCAGCATATTGATGCCAAAATAAGGAAACAATACTTGCATCAACACCAGTGTCAACATGTACTTATTTAGTACTTATTATTTGCGTTCATGCACAGCTCCTTAGCACAGGCTAAAAAAATGTGAGCGAACATGGACTATGAGACGCTAAACAGGGATTAAATATGATCCTTATTTTAAGACCCTTAGCACGAGTGAAGTGTGCTTGAACACTTAATTCAGGCTAAGCACCAAAAAACGCCATTATATCCAATGTACAATTTGAAGATTTACTAATATATTCATTACTACTGGTATTCATTTCGATATGCCATTGCTGCCATGACAATCAACACGAGCACATGTGGGGACATTGTTCTCAAGAAAAAAATGACCTCACGATGAGTACTATCGCGGTACTTCCTGTTATTGTGCACTTGCTGAATTTGCTTTGATATTGTTGTATAACCGTAGAAGCAACATGTATACCAGTACCGTCCTAGTTACTGTACTGAGTAATCATAATTAAAAGAACTGAAAATATATATTCTCGTTAGTCCATGCTAACCACTGTTTCTTCCTGTGCGTGCAGGCAATTGAGTCTAGACGATAAGTGAAAATTTGAGATCAGCTTAAATCTTAGCCCATACTTGGTGTAGTTTGTCATGAACACGACTATTAGATCAACCAGTTTCCCACAAAACACCAGAAACATGTTCCAGTGAAAGAAAATGAGCAAACATTCAAAATCTCATTTAGATTTTTTATTCAAATAAAATTTATCTTACATGATCGACATCTTTCAGAAAATTAAAAGTAGCCAAGGCTAACATTTCAATGCATAAAAGCAGTGAAACTGTTTTGTTACAAACAAAATTATCAACATGATTTATAACAATTCTTTTCCTACTCATATTATCATGGGGTAGCTGGCATTAATTTGGGTTCTATCAAAGATGTCCACGTCACTGATACCTGCAATGCAAAAATAAAATATAATGTAAGCAAAAACCCAAATATATTTTTTAAATATTCCTGCCTCATATCATTTATCCATGAAATCAAGAAGGTTGTATTTAATCTACAAACTTTCTTGTCACAGAAATCATTGCAATAGCATTTGTCATGGCGACAAAATCTTACTAATTTAGAAACGTTGTAATCATACGTTGTTCAGCCTTGAAATGGATCACATGTGAACAACATACTTGTACATGTATTAGATGATAATGTTCTTTGAACTTCAACTGCATTAACTCACATTGAATGTCAGAAGATTTGTTGTAAAACCCTTCACATATTATTACAGTCAAACCGTGTATAGCGACCTCCCAGGTGAATTTATTAAAATTGTCTCTTCGACAGGTAGTCTTTATGTGGAGGTTGGATTATTTGTTTTATGGGTCACCAAGTCATATATTTCCCTAGAGAAAAATGTAATGGTACTGTCGCAACAAAAATACATCAATTTGAGTTAATCAAAATGAAATAAGTTAGACTTGAAAAAATTCAAAACTGTTTTATAAACTGAATGACAATTTGATTATTGGTCTCTGAGGAAAGGCAAACCTTCAAAAATATTTCTGAAATGGTTGTCAGATAAGACAGGTGTTCTTTGTACACTGGTTGCTAATAAGTTATGCCTTGGGACTAAAAGTGGTCACATTAGACAGGTGGTCTTTATTTACAGGTGGGCACTAACAAAGGTTCGACTGTATTATAAATACAACTGTCGCTATACTATGTGTTTACTTGTTTGTACAATTTTCTGAGGTATTTTCACACTTAATAATGTGCTTTACTCATTTGATAGTAGTCAATTTAAAGGAAGTAAAGAAATCTCAATGCCATACTCCCATCTAAGAGATCAGCATTTTGACATTGAGATACATGTATAAAAGAAAAGTTCAAAATCAAATCATATGATTTCTGTGTCAGATGTTTTGTCCGTGCCATTCATGCAAGATCTCGCATTAAACAAAAATCACCTATCAACAAACGAAAACACAGTTTGCTTAAAACTGTGAGAACAGTCAACAACATTTTGTATGTACTGAAAGAGTCATTTCAAATTTACCTTGCCGCTATCTTCATTCACATCAAAAGCATTCATACTGAGGTCATCGTCGTCGTCATGATCATCATAGACCAAGTCAAATTTACCCGCTCTTTTCTTAGAAACGCTTGATGGGTCATAGGTCAGGTCAATTTCTAAACTCTGCAACACAGGATCATATAAGGTAACCAAACCTTCCTAAAAGTGAATGAAATGAAATTTTAAAACTATTATCACAGTACATGAATATATTAGGCCAATACCTCAGCTTAGCATTAAGTTCCAAGGCATAATACTATATAAAAACACACATATGTGCACATAAACAAAAAATTTCATATTTAATCACAAAATTTATTTATTGGATCATTAAAACAACTTATTTTGACGTTAAACACACCTCTGTTGTTTACCTAAGTGCGTGGATTATGAATAGAGTAAAGTAATTGTCCATAATTTCTATAGAACCCTGTCTATGCACATATGAACAAAAACACGAATCCTTTAAACACATCAGGGAGACTTAAAGGGGGAACCTGCCAAACTTAGGGATCGCACCAAAGAATCATGGGACACTATTGTTCAGGTTGTTTACAATGTTAATGTATTTTTTGTTATCCATCGTAATTTTAATCCTGAAAGCAGATTTGTTGTGAGATTAGGCTTGAATGGAGATGCCCCTTTAACCAACTTTTGAATGAGAATGTGCAGGTATTATTTACATAATATTTACATTAAAAATGCTAAATCAATGAAAACAAGTAATTTTCAATACTGCTGTTGAATGCTGTATGTTGATATATGTTACACTTGAAATATGATTTATCCTAAACTGAAAACTCTATACTTGTAGCACACAGCTGAGGATTTGTTCAATAAAAAAATGACACTGTCTTAGATGCATGTGCACTGATTGTTTTGGTACATACAATAACAATCACAGCACATGTGTTGTAGTGTTTTTCATTTTATATTATGACAAATATTATTACCGGTATATTATTAGTTTACGATAAATCATCATCTATTTTACCCTCAGGATGCTGTATTCAACAACAATATTAAAATCAAAGAAAGCTTAGAAAGAACTCCCATGTGCTGAGAGTATTGGAGACACATTAAATATAATTCAAAATTACTTAGCTGAAAACTAATTATGCAAATCAGAAAATTAATATGAACAGATTTGAGTGTAAAACTAATGTGGTCTGCGCAATGTAACAGAAAATCTATGATCCAAGTTTAATTGAAATGTGATTAGATCCAAAAAATTATGAATTATTATGCTTATTAGGGAATTAATATAAACAGATTTTTACCCCAAACTAATTAGGTTTGTACATTGTCCTAGAGCATCTTTGTACTAAGTTTCATTGAAATGGAATAATTAGTACTTTAGATATCAGTGTGAAAGCTTAAAATTGGTTAATTATGCAAATTAGGTAATTAATATGTACAGATTTTAACCCACAATTATCCAGGTCTGTCTATTGTCCTACAGCATCCATGTACATTCATTGATATGTGATGTTTAGTACCTGAGATATCAGTGTGAAAGTTGGTTAATTATGCAAATTAGGTGATTAATATGCACAAATATTTACCGGAAACTAATTGGGTCTGCATAATTCTAGATTCATTGAAATGTGATGATTAGTACTTTAGATATCAGTAGAAAAGCTGAAAATTAATTATGCAAATTAGTTAATTAATATGCACAATTATTTGCCCTAAAACTAATCAG